CTACTATTATTATTTTCGTTCTTAGCATCGATTTTGTTATTGCTATTGTTATACGTGCTATGATAATTATCATGAGTATTATTATTTAGTCTTACTATCATTATTCATGTCATTTTTATCATTATTATTATTGATGTTATCATCAATGTTATGATAGATATTACTATAATCATTATTGTTATTACTATCATTATTATCATTACTATTATTATTATTATTATCACAGTTATTGTCATTATCTTTAATACTATTATCATTATCATTTCCAAAATTACGATTATTTCATCATCATCATCATCATCAAACCATAATCCTCCTCCTCATCATCAAACCATAATCCTCCTCCTCATTAATCAACATCATTATCTTTATAAGTACACATATCCCCCTTCTACATCTCTAACTTCCACTGACTTCACAGGACCACAAAGGCCTGAACCCGCTCTCGACGCTCACCGGCTGCAGGAGGAAGGCGAGGACGGGAAACAGCGCGAGGATCTGGCGCATGGTGGCGGGCGCGGCGAGCGATGTCCGTGGCCTTCTGCGGGGGAGGGGCGAGGCGTAAGAGATGGGTGTGTGGGATATATAAATATATATATATATATATATATATATATATATATATATATATATATATATAATATTATATATATTATAAATATACATACATATATATACACATATATATGTGTGTGTATATATGTATATATATATACACACACACACACACACACACACACACACACACACACACACACACACACACACACACACACACACACACACACACACACGCATGTATGTATAGATAAATAAATGTATATATAAATGTGTATATATGTGTGTGTGTGTGTGTATGAGTGGGTGGGTGTCTGTATGTATGTGAAATACTGAGGAAAACATGTAGATATAGTTGATTTACAAGTGTTAACGAAATAGCTGGTGAAGGTAAATGTGTATATAATTTCCGATAAATTTAGATGTACTCTATATGTAAATGTACACTTTACTCTTTTCCTTCTTTACACTAAAGCAAGGGAACATGGATTTACTTACTAAATGTTCATGTTGATCCACCATTAATGATGTTATTAGACCAGGAAAAACGTCCCAGATAAAAAAAAATAATAAAAAATAAAATTATCCCGCGCTCTCTGAACTTGGCGATCCTTTCTTATACCATTCAGTTCCCTTCTCGCCTTTTTGGAAATATTTCTCTCTCTCTCTCTTTTCCGTCTGCCTGTCCGCCTGCCTGTTTGTCTGTTTGTCTTTCTGTTGTTTTTCTTTCTGTATATGTTTATCTATTATCTATCTATATCTATTCAATATCTATCTATTTCTTCTCTCTGTCTCTTTCTCTCTTTCTCTCTTGTCTCTCTGCCTCTTTCTTTCTTTCTTTCGTCTCCCTTAGGAACACCAGCGGATTGAGAAAAATGTTTACTCGCTCCAGCACAGTTGAGAAAAATTTTCTCAACAGCAGCAGTTGAGGCTTTTGAGGAGTCTCAACAGCAAGGAATAACTTACACGCTCCAGCAGCTGTTGAGAAAAATATTTACTCACAACAGCAGCAGTTGAGGAAATAACTTACTCGCTCCAGCAGCAGTCTCAACAGCAGCAGTTGAGGAAATAACTTACTCGGCAGTCCTCACAGCACAGTTGACTTTGCTCCAGCAGCAGTCTCAACAGCAGCAGTCTTACTCGCTCCAGCAGCAGTTGAGAAAAAATAATTTAGACAGCAGCATTGAGGAAATAACTTACTCGCTCCAGCAGTTGAGAAAAAATATTTAGAACATTGAGGAAAATAACTTACTCGCTCCAGCAGCAGTTGAGAAAAATATTTAGTCCTCAACAGCAGCAGTTGAGGAAATAACTTACTCGCTCCAGCAGGAGTTGAGAAAAATATTTAGTCTCATACAGCAGCAGTTGAGGAAATACTTAAGCAGCGCAGCAGTTGACCAGCTGTTGAGAACAATTTAGTCTCAACAGCAGCAGTTGAGGAAATAACTTACTCGCTCCTGCAGCTGTTGAGAAAAATATTTACTCTTGAGGATATAATTTTCCGCAATAGAGCAGTTGAGAAAAATACTCGTTAGCAAAATATTTAGTCTCAACAGCAGCAGTTGAGGAAATAACTTACTCGCAACAGCAGCACCTTTCGCTCCAGCAGTCACGGGCCGGCCGGGAGGTGTCAGCAGTTGACCCGCAAGAAGACTGAAGACCTCGCTCTGGCCAGCCGCGAGGTCCCCCCTTCTTGTGCCTTCCCCCTCTCCCGCCCCCCCTTCCCACGCCTTTGGCACCTGCCTCCCTTTGCGTCTCTCCCCCCTCCCTCCCGAATATCCCTAGCCTTCATTACCTTCCTCCCTTTCTCGCACGCCTTCCCACTCTATTTATTACCTCTGTCTCTTCGCTTCTCTACGTCCCTCCTAATTCCCTTCGTTTTCCTCCCTCTTCACTATCCTCCTCCTTCTTCCCCTCTATCCATTACCTCTGTCTCTTCGCTTCTCTCCGTCCCTCCTAATTCTCTTCGTTTTCCTCCCTCTTTCACCCTCTTCCTTTCTTCCCTCACTTCCACTTCCCGCCTCCCCTCCTCCCCCTCTTCCCCTTTCCGCCACCTTATTCCCCTCTCTTTTCCCCCGTCTTCACCCCATCCGCCTTCCCCTCCCTCCTCACCACCCCCTCTCCCTCCCGCTCTCTCTTCCCTCTTCACTTCCCCCAACTTCTCCTCTTCACCCTCCCCTCTCCCCTCACCCCTCACGTTCCCCTCAACCCCTCCCGTCCCCTCCCCTCCCCTTCCTCTTCACCCTTCTCCCCTCCCTTTTCCTCTCCCCCCTTCCCCTCTTCACCCCTCCCCATCCCTTCCTCTTCACCCCTCCCCCCTCACCCCTCCCGTCCCCCCATAAATCACGGGCCATTTCCCTCCTGCAGGTGTCTCGCGTGCGTCCTTCGGCCTCCACACCTGACGCCATCAACGGGGCGGAATACTAATGGCGAGGGACATTTAGGGAATTTTGAATCTAAATCTCAAAGTCAGCTCGTGCGGCGCAATTGATTTTTTTTTTTTTTTTTTTTATAGGAATGATGGATGGATTTGGGGATCATTCAATGGCGGGCAATTATCTTTTTTTTAGCGGGATAGGTGAACTGGTACGTTTTGAATATATTTAGAGTTTTTTTTTTTTTTTATCTGCAATATTTTAGTTTACGTTCTTCTTTTCATCTTTATATGAAATTTGATTTTATAGGCTTCGTTTTTTACAGATCTTGATAAGGCACATATCACATCTTGTCATTTCACATCACATCATATATCACATATCGAGTCATTCATTCCTTATCGATTCATCTGCATCTTGTATTCAATATTATCAGTATCTTAGTCTATGATGTCTGATTAGATAAGCTGTGGATCAACATGATAGTTTAAGGTCAGCTGTAGTTCATAAAAAGAAAACAAAGGTATGCTAGCTGTACTTCGTAAAAAACAAAAGTAGGTCAGTTGTAGTTCATAAAACAAAGGTATGTCAGCTGTATTTAATTAAAAAAGGTATGCTAGCTGTAGTTCATAAAAAACGAAGGTAGGTTAGTTGTGGTTCATAAAACAAGGGCATGACAGCTGTAGCTCATGAAATAACAAAGGTATACCAGCTGTAGTTCATTAGAAAAAACAACAACAAAGTTATGCTAGTTGTAGTTCATAAAAACAAAGTTAGGTAAGTTGTGGTTCATAAAACAAAGGAATGACAGCTGTAATTCATTTAAAAAGGTATGCTAGCTGTAGTTCATAAAAAAACAAAGGTATGCTAGCTGTAGTTCATAAAAAAACAAAGGTATGCTAGCTGTAGTTCATAAAACAGAGGTAGGCATGTTGTAGTTCGAGGGCCAAAGTTATGTATGTCGTCGTTCAAAAGATACCTCTCGACTAGAATTCTATATTTTGATGGTAATGAAACAAAACGATCCAGAGAAAATAACTTTTGAATAGGTGTAGACATAACATGCATTCACACACATACAATTCACGACAAGAATCCCTCATCTCACTACTTGGTCATCTACTGCAATATTCATAAGTTCTTGAAGATTTCAAGAACTTATGAATCTAAGTAATTTCTTTGGTAGCTTCGCATCGTCTTAGAGGTGTTTTTTCGACTCGTTTCAGGAGGATTCGATCGCCTTTGTGTACATATCGGTATCTGAATCTACAAAACTGAGGCTTGGTTTACGATTCCTGTGTTTTGAAGAAACGACCTTCACTCTTCGGAATGAATGGTAATAGTATTAATAATAAAAAAGATAGTTGTGATAATGATGATAATAATAATAATAATAATAATAATAATAGCAATAACAACAATAATAATGATAGTAATGATGATGATGGTAATGATAATCATAATGATAGTATTAGAATTAATAACAAAAATAATAAAAATAGTAATGAAGACGATAATGATAATCATAATGACAGTATTAAAAGTAACGACAATTATGATGATAATAAAAATTACATTGATAATAACAATAATAGTGATGATAATAGTGATGATAATTATAATTATAATGATTATGAAAATAATGATAAAAATAATAGTGATGATAATGATATTAATAACAATGATGATAATGATAAAAATAACAGCAATAATAATAATGACGATAATAATGATAACAATAGTGCTAATAATAATAACAATTGTAATGATAATAATGATAACAATTGTAAAGATGATAATAATAACAATAATGGCAGTAATAATAATACAGATAATAATAGTAATGATAATGATAACGATAATGATAATAATGATCATGATAATAATGATAACATTAATGATGATAATAATGATAATATGATTATATTAACAATGGTAATGATATAAAATAATAATGATAATACTAATGATAATCATAACGATAAAAAAATAATGATGATGATTATGATAGTAATAGTGATGATAAAGATAATGATAACAATAATAATAACAACAAAATTATAATGA